AGGACAGTAGAATGAATAAAAAACTGTAATGGAACCATTTTTAAGAAAAGACTGAAAAGTCTGCCTACGTAACTCATTTCGATGGACATCTGGAGCGGCCAGAATCTATGGAGCCAACCTTTTTTTAGCTCCTTAGTAGGAAACCCCTTTTTGACTGTTTGGATACTTGCAGTGTTTTTGCCTTATGATTGTTATTCAGCTCTTATGCCAGTGATTGTATGGATAGTTTTCCTTAAACTCTACCTGGAATGTGCTTAACCCCTTTAATGTGCATAATTAAGTTTTTTTTTTTCTCTTTCTTTCTTTTTCTTCTATTTAGAAATGTTGCTTTAATTAACCCTTTATTGTTTATATTCTAAACCTTGTCAAATACTCAAAAGTTATAATTGGTAGTCAAACCTACATTTTCTGCCTAATATCAATTATGTTTCTATTCATTTTCATCTTTATCCTTAATTAGGTTCTTTGCCCTACACAGGACTGTGTATGTGTTTTCATTCTCAGTTGTACTATTATTATCTCATATGGGTTTTGTGATAAGAAAAACAAGTAGAATAGAATGTTCACCACATTAATAACTATACTTCAGAAGGGTCTTAGTGCTGAGTGACTTGGGAAGTACATGCTAGACAAGGCAAGTTTTGGTAAACTGATAGTTTTCGTAACTAATGTGTTGTACAGAGCGAACATTGACACCAAGGAAAATGGGGGTATAGTTATGTTTTTCTTCTAGGTTACAGCAGTTTTAGGCTTCACTAACTGAATAATATATATGTTAACTGAATCATACCATAGAAGTGGCAGACGGTTTGCTGAGTATTTAATTACCTGGCCTGGGTTTGAGAATTTGGTTTGTTTCCAGATAACATTGAAAAGTAGACTTCATCAGTGCGGCAAGATTTAGTGCCAACATACAAAATCCATTGCTCGCTCCTCTTTGAAGCTCCATTTCATGGTGGGAAGACACTAGCCACAGTAAAATCACAATGTAGGGATCAACAGTTTTCAATTCTGCTATTGCAGTCTATATTTCTTTGAAATTCTTAGCTCACTCACTCCCTTATTTTATCTTTTCAGCTTACCCTGTTGTTTTATAAAATTTAATTCTGCTGTCTTTTTTTAAAGCAATATTTTATTTATTTACTTTTAGAGAGCGGAGAAGGGAGGGAGAAAGAGAGGGAGAGACACATCAATGTGTGGTTGCCTCTGGCATGCTCCCAGTTGGGGTTCTGGCCTGCATCCCAGGCGTGTGCCCTCCTTGGGAACCTAGCCAGCAGTCCTTTGGTTCAGAGGCTGACACTCAATCCACTGAGCCACACCAGCCAGGGCTAATTCTGCTGTCTTTTTACCTCAGCATTTGTTTAATCTTTCTGCACATGTTAGAGAGACCAGGTCTTTCTGGACCCTACTGAACATGTTAAGGCTCTGTCTAAAACGCATTCACATTTTTCTTGATAATTCGCTTTCAGAATGACACCCTCTTCTGTGATTGAAGGTGATGTTCTCTTTCTCTTATGCCCCAGTACTTCTTCCTGGGTACCATGCTGTATGTGTTTAATTTACTCATTCTGAAATGATTCATGCAGGCCTTGGGATCACCAATAGACAGTGTAGATTTCACTTTTTGTTCACCAGCTTTTGCAGAAATCTTTTCTCCAAGTTCCAATATCCAGTATCTTTCAGGTGATTTGGGAGCTTTGTTACACTAAGGTGGAATCTGGCCACACCCTTTCTTCCTGCCTGTGCCTTTCATATAGTGGGCTATTAGAGTCCTTGTAAAATAAGAAGCATCAGTATTGTGCTTTACACCCCAGTTCTTGCTATAGGTGCAGTAGCTATAACATTGTACTTGCGGTGAAGACAGTTCCACTGTACTGCTGCCATCACCCTGCATTGCTTTCTTGGAGTTAACCTCTATATAGATGGATAAAATTGGTTCCCAATAGATAATTCTATTTAGTTTTTACAGAATGGTAGGGATTTCTCTATAGTTAACAAAATTATCTAATTCAGGAGCCAGATGATAAATTTATGAGAGCACTGATGAAGTTCTCTAGGTAGGGAGAGGAGGGTGTAGGGGGGAATAAATGGTGATGGACAGAGACTTGGCTTGGGGTGGTGGACACATAATGCAGTATTCAGATGGTGTGCTGTAGATTTGTGCCCCTGAGATCTGTGTAATTTTGTTAACCAGTGTCACCCCGATAAATTCAATAGGAAGGAAAAAATAGTTCTCTTGGTAAAAAAAAGAAAAGAAAAGAAAAAAGATTTCATTTAACCAGAAGCACATATAAACAGAATATCTTTTTTTCCTCTCAATCCACTTCAGTTGTGGGGAGAGATGGAGGGAATGGGGAGAAGGAGAAGGAGAGAAAGAGAGAGAGAAAATTTGGTGAGAGGCTGGTGAGGTATAGACAATACCCAAATAAGTACCCAACTAAAATATACTGGACATGAGAACTAAGATTGCTATAGAGAAAAGTAAAGATAAAACAAAGATAAAAAGAAGAGGATAATTCCTAATTCTTGTTTCCCATTGTTACATGGTTTAGGGCTTGTCATCATAGTTATTTTTATGGAATATTGGGTGAAGCTACTTTAAATGCAAACAGCTGGTATTGTTTGAGGTAGCTTTTAAACCAGAATCCAAGTATACTTATATTTAATGGTTCAAAAAATATTATTACTATTAATCTCTGGTGTGTGAAATATTATAAAAAAGGCTATGCTCACTGCTTGGCAGATACTATGATATATGCTTACTTAAGCTATTTTATTTAATCCCCACAACACCTCTGTAAATTGAGTATTATTTACCCTTCTGAAGATAAAGAAAATAAGGCTTAGAATGATTAAATAACTTGCCTAAGGGAGCATAACTAGCAAATACCCAAACTAGGATTTGAACTGAAATTTCTTTGATCCAAAGATCATATTTGTAATCACTACACCTTTCATGTTCAAGCTCTGACTGAGCTGAGCATAATGAACAAATTAACAAATCGATTGGTTTTAATCCAAACTGTTTTCCAGAGCTTGCACATAATTTGTCCTCTGCCTACCTCTCCAACTTCATTTTAGACTACCTACCTTGGGCTGTCTGCTGCCAGCCCCACTGGCTTCCTTTCTGTTCCCTAAGTACCACATTTGAAGACCTCTGCATGTGCTGTTTCCGGAGGTGGCAGTGTTTTCCTTCCTCTCCCTCTTTTTTCTACATGCTTGCCTTCTCCTTCTCTTCCAGGTCCTAGATCACATATCTGCTCAGTCTTCTGACCACTTTGTATAAACAAGCTGCCCCTCCTCGCTGTCACCTATCATTTCCTTTGTAGTAACCGATCTGAAATCAATTTGTTCACTTACTCGTTATGTCTCTCTCTGCAGACTGTAAGCTCTTTGGGAGCAGGAGCCTTCTGCTCTTGGTTATTACTGTATTTACTAAAGTTATACATCAAGTACCATTCTAACAGGTGTGGAAAAGGCAACTGAATGAAAAATGGATGAATGGCTTTGAAATGTATATATTTGTTTCTAATTAGGAACAGTGCCTTTAAAAGTTTTTCAATGAAATGTATTTGAAAATGTCTTCGATAATTTTGAGTAGTATTCTAAATCATGTTTTAACTTTGACCAGGATACTTAACACAATAACAAACTATTACAACTTCCTGCAGAAACGGATTTTTACTTTGGTTGTGACATGCCCAGTCGTCTTGTATAAATAACCTGAAAATGTATATTATTTAATAAGAATAAGGCTCTTTTCCTAATTATCTGCAATAGAATGATAGTGTTATATAATCACAACATTTTTTTTTAGCTAGATAAGGACTTAGTATACTCTATAGTTGAACTAAAATAAAGTAAAAAAATAAGAAGCCTTCTCAAAAGCTACACAGGTTGGTTCAGGCCCAGAAACATGGGACAGGACCCTTCCCATCATATTACTGTTTTTTTCACTTGCCCTCTCCCACACCATTATAGTGAATATTCCCATAGGTGCAATAGATCATGTATAGCATTAAATGAAAATAAATAAATCTGTATTTCAGAAAGAAAAATATGAGTATTAATCAAAGTTCCCAGGTTATCTCAAATCTATAAGAAATGAAACAAACTTTCACAGGCACCTTAAAACTGGAATCATTGCACACAATTCTGTCTAAGGCAGCTATAACAGAGACACAGGCGTGCAGGCTAGATCTCCAAATAGAAGGGAAAAGAAGTATCAGGTTCAGCATGAAAAAAATCATCAAGCTTTATACATTGTATTTTGTTCCACAGTTAGCAATCAAAGGAATGAAGAACAAAGGAATTCTTCATTCTCCAGAAACATTCCTTGAAAATTTGGTTTCATTTACGAACATAAATTTACATGCATGTCCAAAATACAAGATATACCTTGCCTTCATGTCTTCTTAGAAGCCAAAGATTTATTTTCTAAGAGTCAAAGAAAACAAAAGCAAACTACATTGTCTTGTTTCCATAAAGAGATGAAGGAAAATGGACATGTGTTTCATCAAGGGAAATAATATGTCCAGTAAATGTGGGCAGTGAATATATAAAGCATTCTAAGAAGTTCAAAAATAGTGTTTTTTCTAGGAAGTGACTCTTGTAAGACTAATGTAATAAAGACCTGTATTATCTATCTTATTAATCTTCTAAGGTCAGCAGCAACATAGGCTCACATATTTATATTACAAAATACAGACCCCAGTGTAGATGACTATGAAATTTAGCTTTTTTCCTATGAAGAGAATTTTTATGCTGACTCTGTAGAACTTCAGTTCTTTTCAGTGCTTTGTTTATAGAATGATCACAGGCTATAAAGCAAATAGTATTCATCCCCAAATAACTATGCACATAAGTCATTGACACATCAACTCCTAGAGTCAAAGGGATTATCTTGTCAAAAATCTTCCTTGTAGAGATAAAGCTTGTCTCAGAATTCTGGTAACCATTGTAATGAGGATTTATTTGTCTTTGTATGTCTATGTGTGCAGGAATACATGGACTCCAATAAATACATTGAGCATCTGCTCACCCAACTTGAGGAGAAACACAGAAGTCTCTGGAGGTGAGTTAAATCCATGTCCTCACTAACAGCCTCTACAGCTTTGATCTTGATCATGGAGGCAGGGAATTAGAAAATGGCTTCTTGTTCCATTTGGTGCTAAAGCATCCTTGGAAACAAAAATCACCAGAGGCTACCTTGAGAATTTTATTTCTTTAATCAAAATAAAGCAGCCATGCCAAAAGTTGTCTTTGAGTCAAGGATCTGCTCAGAGCTGGAAGGATGGTAGAAACTGTGACACATGCTGGTCAAGGTCAATGAATTAATTTACCCAAGACCACATGGCAACCTTATATTGTAGAAAACTGGAACCCAAATTCTCTGATCCTTGCCTGCTTGAAGATTATTTAAGTTTTTCTGTAATTAAAAAGATAAGACACTTCTGCTTAAATTTTCTGCTTTTCTTCATATTAAATAAGAACATTTTAAGAATGCTGTTGAATAGGTCTCCAATGTTTTTTTTTTTTTCAGTTTGTTTGTTCTGGGTTTTTGGGTTTTTTTTTCTATATGGTAGGTTCTGAGTCTCAGTAAGGAAAGATATATGAGAATATTTGTGTAGGTAAGTTGGAAAAAGATTAGTATCATAGAAGTCATATTTTCAAGTTATTTATTCCCTGGGGCCTCTTGGTAAGTGAGACTAGCTAACAATGGTTGTAATATTATTATATAGCTCTTTAGGGTCCATGTAGTCATGCTCTTCATAGGTGATGCTGTGGAATTTGAATTCCTTTTTCTAAATTCCTACAGCTCTTGTTGTCTGGGATGAATATACTAGTCCTCATTTATATGATGCCTCACATTGCACTGGAAGTGTTTCACATAATTAGCTTTGTCTCCCAAAGGTCAATATCCCCCTAACGTCCTTTATTTCTTATCTCTTCAAGGCAGGGAGCAGACCACACTCTCTGTTCACAGAGATGGCAAGTAAACATTTGCTAACCCCACGGCTCTTTTCCCCAACCTCATCCAAATCCATCACCATTGATACCATGCTTGGCTGTTTGCCTCTTCTTTACATACCCTGTAACAAATCCTAAAAACTTTGAAATTCGTCTTCCTGAGAAATTCTAGTTTTTGGGTAAAGTGCTTGATACTTTCATTTGTCCTTCTCTTATATTACCACATTTTGCTGTGTATAATGCGCACCCATGTTTTTGTGCACATTATACACGGGATTATTACACCCATGGTATGTAATCATTATACCCATGTATAATGCACATCCTTATTTTTCCCTCAATAATTTGGGCAAATATTTGTGCATTATACATGGCAAAATATGAGTAATTTTCCTACTAGAGAACAAATCTGTGGTTGTGATAATAGGCAGCATTCTATTTCTATATACAAGAACAATTGTTGGTAGGATACAAAAGAAGCATGTAATTTTTGTCTGCTAGCCACAAACAGGCACGCCAGTTAATTTTATATAACTTGATGCAATATTTATTAGATTTGTTTTTGAGAGCTATAACCTGGTGTTGATATAATTTTCTTTTGTCAACCAATGTATTGTATTAATAAAACCAACAATAATAATGTATTTATAGTTATGTGCCTTTTAAATTATATTTTCCATAGACCTACAAAGTATTTTTAAAAAGTTATTTAACTGAGTTGTAACATTGTCGTTCAACTACTTGAATATTTTATTATCTTCCAAGAGAAAAATACACAAAAATGATGAATACCATCTGACAAAAGAAACTTAGAGTTTAATTTGGTCAGTAAGTGTGTCTTATACACATCATTGAGAAGGAGTAATGGTTTCATGGGTCTTTGAGCCAAATACCTGCATGGAAATAATATTTTTCTGCTTTCTCAGGGTAGCTTATAAAAACCTTTTGGTCTTCTCCAATATGATTGAGTTAAAATCCCATTTCAGGCACAGAATTAAACTAACAAAAAGTAAGAGCTCAGAATTTTGTGTGCAATCACTTCCATTATCCTTCAGAAATGGAATTATTGCTGGTAAAGAACCATAGCCTTATATATAGTGTCAGTGGATCTAATAAAACTACATTTGAATAACAATAAAGGGCAATAATGACACTTGAATAGTCAGAATAACTACCAGTAAGAAAATGGAAATGGGTAGTATTGAAAAGAAAATGAAACCAGTAATAGCAGATTTATATACTATTTATTGAATCATGAAATTATACTTGATTATATTTTGCAAACAGATCTTGACTGACTTAAAGTAATAGGCTTTATGATGATTATTATAGTGTCATAACTGCAACTGTAGCTGAATTGTTTTTGGTGAAGAATATGTTAAGTGACAGTGAGCAGTGTGGAAAATTCTTTCTGGTTGCAATTAAATTTTTTAAATGTTTTCTTGAGTTAGAGTAGAATCTGTGATGTCCAGAGGATCATGAGAATAGCATGTGATGTACACAAGCACAACTGGATTGTCTGAATTTAAACAACTGTTCCCATAACTCAATATAAAAGCTTTTTTCTGACTTTATTATGCCTTTGATTTGTAACTGGTGCAATCTCCATGAATGGGGCTACTTGTTATTACTCTTGATACTAACTGATGGCCTTCTACTTATACTTAGAAGAAAGGATAAATTCTGAATACTTAGTTCTTCCAACAATAATAGTGGTCATCGTTAATTTATGGCCACAATATTTTAGGATTGATGAAAATTGTGGTAGACACATTCGCTGTTACTGACACTTGCTGAATGATGAAAGAATTGGATAAATGGTACAAGATTGGGTACAAGGATTAAAAGTCTTTCCTTATATTTGTGGAGGGGGCTACTTGTCTTTAATAGTTTTTAGTCATTTCTTATAGCATAACCAACTGTTGTGACACAAATATATTGTTGTAATCATACTCTCAAGGTAACCAGTGTTTATGAGGTCCTTTTAAGTGTTCTACTGAAATAGACCTACTATCTATCTCTGGATTTTCAAATTGCTAAGGAATTTATGAAGTCCAAAGATAGCTGTTTAGCAATGAGTAGCCATTTATCTCAACTGTTTTCTTTTTTACACTGACAGAAAATATGTATGAAGTAATATGAATAATGGGGTGGAGTCAAAATCTAGAACTTAGTCTAGGACTTGCGTACAAGTCTGGGTGTGCTTAATGTGCTCCGCATCTCCCTGCTTGATGATGAAAGGAAACACACCAATGCCCCTTGTTTACCAGTTGATGTTGAAATGTGATAATATATTTCTGCATGTTTATTTGTTTTAATGTAGAAAATGAAGATTAGAAGAAGGCTTATTTGCACTTAATGATTTTTATATCATCTATTACTATTTATGATTTGACTAACTATACCTGTGATTAACAAAGATTGTAATGAAACAATTGCTGAGACTGTCTTTCTCCTACACTTGATAGCCTAAAATTAAGAGTTTAGAACACACACAAACATTTGGAAAATACAAATCTATTTCATGAATATTTATTGTGTTAATCACTTTTTCATGTCACATATATGAAATCATGTATAGCAATGGAAACAGCATAATACTATAGAAATGCTAAGAGGACTAACCTAGAGGTTTTTGAGACTTGGACTCCTGCCCTGGCTCGCCAAACTCACTGTTAAAAGAACAACTGAGACTGAGTTTCCTTATCTATAAAAGAGAAGGTATCAATATAGTTAGTAATTAAGATTACGAAGCACAACGATTATATAAAACATGCTGTCTAAAGTAGTATTACATTTATATAACATGTCAGACATGTATAATCTCATTTTTCCATAATACTTAAATGCTACATTATGATTCACCTGTATGAAACCAATATCATAGAAATCTTCAAGAGAGTGAGTAGAAAAGACTAATATAACAGAAATACCTAACAATTTGCCAGCAATGCAACTGGATAGTGTCATAGTGTTCATTTTAGAATTTCCTAGCTCAAATTGGAGACAGTGTTAGACAGTGTTGCCTGTAAATAAACAAAGTAGGTCTTCATGGCCAAAATTAAGTGACAAGATTTGGTCAATGTAAAGAGCCCCTTGCCCGCCCATGGACACCAGATCACTGAAGGCCCCTCTGAACAAGCTCTATTTGGGCTGGGCTTTCACAATTAAGGCACTATTGCCATTGGGACCAGCTCATTCCTTATATGGGGGCAGGAGAATGGGGTTGTTCTGTCCATTGTAAGATGTTTAGCATAATCCCTAGCTTCAACCCACAACATGCTTCCACATCCCCTCATTGTGACAACCAAAAAACACAAATCCACAGACACTTTCCACATGTTCCTTAGGGATCAGAATCACCTTTTCTCCCCATTGAGAACCAGTGATCTAAGTCAGCATCCCCAGCCTTTTTGGCACCAGGGACTGGTTTCGTGGAAGACAATTTTTCCACTGACTGGAGTAGTGGAGAGGGGAGACAGGAGGCAGAGCTCAGGCCAGGGACAGGGGTGGGAGACAGGCAGCAGAACTCAGGAGGTGATGGGAAAGTGTCCATGGACGGGAGTAGGGAGGCTGGGGCCCCCTGACCTAAATCATTGACACAAGTGTTTTCCTAAGCACATGCCAAGAAATACGAATACCCTAGGTCACTGTTCTAGGTGTTTTAAGAAAAATAAAGGTCAAATTTGAAATATACTAGGTAAAACCAAGTTTTAAAAATGTTTTAATTGCAGAAATTTCAGAGCCAGTTATATTACTAATGTGCTATACACATTAAATACAGGATATAAAGTATAATTTTGGCTTCTTAAAAAAATTGAATCATATCTCTTTTGAAGCATCTGCTCTAAGGTTCAAGAAACATTTTGGGAAATGGTGATCTATCCAGTTTGATAACCAAATATAAACTTGGCTTGCACCCCCTGCTTCCCCCTACTTCACTGGTACCGGGGGGTGGGTGACTTAGTGAAAGAATAGTTAGTACTGTGAGGAGTCTGAGTTGTGCTTACAAGAGGGGAGTAGGTGTCTGGAGGACCCAATCCCAAGCTCTTTACCATTTTCTTGAGTGGTAGCCCAAGCCTCAATATGAAAGTCCAAGAATCT